CTAGTCTTTCTTCCTCTGAGAGGCTACGGCCCCCCGAAGATATTGGAAGCAAGACCGACTCCACAAGGGTTGGTTGATTCCGCGCGCCATCTAGTGTCCAGGTGCACAAACACCACGTAGTATTGGGGGAGGTCTATGAAGGGTGTACAGTATGTGTTTGAACTGTCACCCTCCATTGCTCATAATGGCCTTTGAAACTTGAAGGGTGAAAACACTGTCCATCTAAGACCCATTCGTCAGTAGTTAACAAGTTGAGATGTGTTTTATTTTTTATTTTTTGGGGTTTTTTTGAGATGTGTTTTAATATTCTGCACGTTATAGATAAGAAAGGCAAAAGGGCTTTCCTTATCTGATTTTTTTTCAATTGGTACATATTCACTAATGGTGTCTGTGTGTATTTAGGTATATGAATTTCAATCAGTCTGCAGGGTTATCCGAGGAAAAAATTTGGAATTTCAGTCCTCATTTCCCCTTTAATGAAATGGTAATCATAAGGGTAGTTATAGAACTTTGTGGGGATGGAATGCAAATGGTGCTCATAATGATTGCCTGGCACATAGGAAACACTCAGACAAGCCTAGGGATCTACTGCTGAAAAGTAGCCAATGAAAACCTTATGGGTCACAACAGAACCCTGCTTGACTCCAGCTTTGGACATGTCATGGGGATGAGCCAATCACTAAAGGAGGACATCATGGCTGGTGAAGCTGAGGACCAACGGTGAAGGGAGACCTTTGATGAGAGACTTTGGCACAATAGATGCAACAATAGACATGTCCGTAATTGTGACGATGATGCGGTCCGCCCCATTTTCCATAAGCTTTCCATGAGTTCGAGGTGAATGGATGGACAGATATTTATCTATCTTATCATGTTAGGCGTTCCTAGGCATGTTCCTGTCTTTTTTTTTTTTTTGCAACTAGGTTGGTTAAGCGCTTTCAAGGAAAGGTCTGATTACCATGCTAACATTTTTGTTTTTCTTATTCTTCAGTGTTCTCAGTGGCTTGTGTCTTTCCTGTTTGATTTGTTGCTTGCAAGTATACTTGGCGGTGGCAGGCCTTTCACAGGAGATCTTCAGTGGAGAATCTTTGATTGGCTGACTGGCCTTTGCTCTTATTGTCTGTGCTGGTGTTCTGCGCTTAACAAGTGTTCAGTCCAAAACCAAACCGAATCCCCTGCCACAAGGTCAATTCCAACTCACAGTGACCCTACAAGTGCTCAATATGTTTGTGAAAGCTAATGGGTGCCCTGGGGATGGGCTAGGAATAATAATAAGACAATAGTGTGTTTTAATGCATCTGTCAAAACTCATATGTTGGTGTTCACTCTCACATAGTCATTATGGAAAGTTATATTCATATTCTAATTAGGCTACTCTAGTACATCTATGGATCTTGTACCCTCATTATAGGGAAAGTGTAAAGATTTCTGCATTCTTACTATTGGTGAGTCCTTATGTGTGAAAATAGGTTTGAGTTCTTGAAACAGGCTGAAGCCATTTGAAAACAAGCATCAGATTATGGTGACTATTAATAACTTAGTTTTCAGGGAGAGAAAGGGGAAAATAAGGAGCTGATACCAAGGGCTCAAGGTGAAAGCAAATGTTTTAAGAATGATGATGGCAACAAATGTACAAATGTGCTTACACAATGGATGGATGGATGGATTGTGATAAGAGTTGTATGAGCCCCCAATAAAATGATTGAATTAAAAACAAACCCACTTAGTTTTCCAGTGCCACTTAGACTGTTCTGATGGCAACTCTAAAATGTTTGATTAATATGTTCCAACACATCACTTGTTTTCTAATCCTGTCCGTGTATTTTGAAGTTGAAGGTCAAAATGATTGCATTTTCTGAGAATCAGACTCAAGCCTCAAGATTCTGATTCACAAAGGAGCGCTTAGGATAATCGAGTCTAACTAGTCAAGTGTCGAGGAATGATTTTCAAAATGTTAACAACATGACTCCCATACACGTATGTCACTAGCGAGCTTGTGTGTTTGTCAAAGAATGGTGTAAATCATCAATGAGGGAACAAGTGTCTCTAGTCAGTGACAGAAAGAATGCCAGAAGATGGCAGAATTTGGCTCTGTAATCAGAACCTTTAGGGTTCTGTCTTCTGCTGGGAAGTAGTCATTCACCTGTTTACTGGAAAAAATATCCTTTTGCCTCTTAGAAGTGAAGGCAGTTAGCTGGTGATTCCAAGTTAGGTGTTGGGCTGCTAACCCCAATGCTGACAACTCACTAGCTGCTCTGAGGGGAAAAGCTACGGCTGTCTGCTCCTGTCAAGATGGATAGCCATGGAAGCCCAGTAGAATGTTTCTAGCTTGCCTTACAGGGTAGAATTAACTTGGTAGCAGTCAGTATAAGTGAACACCAAATTAAACATAATCTGAAATGTGGCTTGAAATGTGGCTAGACTGAGTGCTCTATTAATGTCAAATGGACATTAGCTTTAGGAAATGTAGCATTACAAAATAAAAATGTGGACTAACTTTTAAACATATTGATTACATGGTGGACTGATAATATTTGGGCTGTAGCATTGAGTTAAATAAAATATATTATTATAAATAAGCTCACTTCCTTCTTTGAACTGTTTTCCATGTGACTCCTAGAAAATGTAAAACGGCATATGTGATTCACTTTCTATTTGATTGTCTCGTACTGTCCTAGAACATCAGGTGACCTGTAAGTGGACTTTTTAGAAGATACTATCACACAGCCTCAAAGGATATGAAGTAGTATTTTTGTCTTATTTAAAACACTGGATACCTTTTAGATTGTTGTCCTCAATACATATTAAAGGGGTCTGGAGAAGGGTTGGAATCTCTGGGTGGTGCAAATATTTAGTGTGCTTGGCTACTAACCCAAAGGCTAGAGGTTTGATTCCACCCAGAGACACCTCAGCAGAAAAGTCTGCTGGTCTACTTCTGAAAAGTCAGCCAACGAGAACTCTAAGGAGTACAGTTGTCCTCGGACAGGTGTGGGGCTGCCAGATGTTGGAATTGGCTAAAAGGCAATGTTTTGACTGAACTCAGGACTGCAGATTTGCATGGAGGGACATGTGATTGGCTTTATTTACATGCGGTTGATATAGAAATTGGGACAACAATGCCTTTGTAATCAAGATTCCACACAGCTCTTTTCCTGATGGAAAACGTTTTATATGAGGAGGGAGCTTATTACACATAGAATCAGTGGCATGTCATTTCTTTTTTAGTAAAATACGTTTGTGTGATGAAGGTGTTTTAACTCTTTATACACTTTAATATTGTCTGACACACTAAAGGATAGCCAGTCTAAGATGGTTTTTAAAGGCTACTAATTCATCCATCAGTAATCTCATTAGGCTACTAATTCCCAGAGGGCATTGTTGGTGGTAGCCAGTGTTACCAAATGCTGAATGTATGTTATTCAATGGATCCGCGGGGGTGATTCTTAGTTTAAAAGAGGATGCTCCACGTTTGATTGATCACTGAGCTTGATTGGTAAAGGTCCATTTTGCTTTCACCATAATCCAAGACCAACATCTTCCCGCTATGTTTTCTTTTGCAGACATAGATTTGAGCAGGCATATTTGGTGAGTTGTAACATTTCCTATATCTCTAAATTGAAATATGTGTCTATGTTATATATATATACGTAGAACATTTACTCCATCTTTCCTCTCGGGGTGGGGGGGGAAGAAAAAAGTAGTCTCTTGTGGAAGCAAAGCAAACCTTAGGATGCAGATGCCCAGTTTTAGAGTTGCTGGAAGAGGTGACATATAGTCTCATCAATAATAGATGGTATAGAAGTTTCCCTCCTTTTTTTTAAAACATCCTATCTATGCTTTTCCACTTCAAATCTATGATTCATTGCGGAAGTCAAAAGCATGTTGTCAAGGAAGTCAGCGCCTTCCTTCCTAGCCCTGTCTTTGACCTCCTAGCCTGGGAATATCCTTTAATACTATGTACATTTAACATCTTGGTACTGGAAATAACCTAGATTTTTCAGGGGCTGACATCCATTTCTAGATTTCGGCATACAAACGTCAATAAATAAATAAAATCTTGGAAAATAGCTATCTCAACACCCCTAGAGCCAAGTCTCTTGGGGATTGTTTTTGCAGACTTGGGAGGGTTGGGGGTCGGGGGTCTCCTTTCTTCTCTTACTATCCCTATTTTTAAGGGCCAGAAACCCCTGCCTTGCACAAGCCAGAGGAGACAAGGTGTTTAAAAAACAAAACAAAAACAAGCCGACAATTGTTTTTCACCTATGGAGAAGTAAAAGGATTGCCCCACCCCCATGTATGGAAGGCAGATTTGATAGTTTAGATGTCTTCCTGCTAAAGATTTAAGTCCCTAAGCCCCCACCACCCATGACCACCACCCATAGCTTATGCACCCCCTGCCATCCCGCCCTAATGGCTTTGGACTGGTCCGGAATCCTGGTCCCAGTCCACAGTTCCTGTGGGTCGGTACGCAGAATTCACAGAGGACCTGTGTTACTTCCCTTGCGAAGAAACAAAATTATCGTGAAACTTCAGGAGGACATGACTCCGTCTTTGTCCCGACAAGAAGGGAAGGATGTGCCTAACTACCTCTGTGAAAAAGAACCTTCAGGGGCAGAGGAGTGATCAGGGAATTTAGAAGAAAAACAGCAAGTGGTCCTTGAGTGCCCTGGACTTCGCACGGAGTTGGGGCAGTTGGAGACTCCTGGACGCGTTGTGTTTCTAGTTCGGAAGAAATTAACTGGAGCGCTCGAAGCCTGAGGCTTCCGGGATCATTTCGCGATCAAACACGGGGGATTTGGTGCAGAATATTTCGATATTTCCCCCTTTTTGTGAAGTGGAACAAACACAACTTGGGCGCATCGCGGCGGCTCGGAGCTTGCCAGCCAGGCGGGCGACCGGAGCACCAATCAGCGCGCGCCTGCGCTCTATATATATGGCGCCGGCCCGAGAGAGTCTCTATCGACTCTTTGCCACTTGTACTTGAGACTTAGTGGTTCATCATGTCGGAGACTGCTCCAGCTGCTCCAGCTGCCGCGCCAGCGGCCGAGAAGGCCTCGGTGAAGAAGAAGGCTCCCAAAAAGGCCGCCGGGGTGCGCCGCAAGGCGTCCGGCCCCCCGGTGTCCGAGCTCATCACCCGGGCAGTGGGTGCCTCCAAGGAGCGCAGCGGCGTGTCCCTGGCCGCGCTGAAGAAGTCGCTGGCGGCCGCCGGCTACGACGTGGAGAAGAACAACAGCCGCATCAAGCTGGGCCTCAAGAGCCTGGTGAACAAGGGCATCCTGGTGCAGACCAAGGGCACCGGCGCCTCGGGCTCCTTCAAGCTCAACAAGAAGGCCGGCTCCGGGGAAGTCAAACCCAAGGTCAAGAAGACCGGCGCGGCCAAGGCCAAGAAGCCGGCCGCCGCCAAGAAGGTCAAGAAGGCGGCCGGGGCAGCCACCCCGAAAAAGAGCGCCAAGAAGACCCCCAAGAAGGCGAAGAAGCCCGCGGCTGCTGCTGGGGTCAAGAAAGTGGCCAAGAGCCCAAAGAAGGTGAAGGCTGCCAAGACCAAGAAGGCAGCCAAGAGCCCAGCTAAGGCGGTCAAGGCCAAGGCAGCCAAGCCCAGGGTTACTAAGCCTAAGAAGGCTGCGCCCAAGAAGAAGTAGGCTGCCGCAAGCCCCTGCTTCTAAACCCCAAAAGGCTCTTTTCAGAGCCACCACGGATCTCAGTAAAAGAGCTGTGTACGTTTGTCTCCTTGTCCTTTCATCTTGGGGGCGGGAAGGCGGGGCGCGCTTTTGGGGGCGTGATGGCAATGCTACCTCTTGGCTGCTTCGCTGCCTTGCTCTCAGGCTTTGCGGATGGCATGGGGTCAGCTCGGTCACTCGGTGTGGCACCGCTGCTGGCCCCTGCCTACGTGTGGAAGTAGCAAAACAAGGAATTGGAAGGAAAAGTTGCTGTTTGTCTTCAGCGACATCCCGATTGGACTGTCATTCAAAAGTCCCGCCTTGCGTGCTGGTTGGTCCACGCCTCCAGCGTCTGTGTTTCATCCCATAGTTTGATTGGACAGTGATCGGCCTCCTCCCTAGCCTTGTTTTGATGCATTTGGGTTTAGCCAGTATGTCTTTGACATTGGTCGCGTCAGTGCGCCTGGCGTTTCTGGCACGAAATAGTTTCCATCGTCCGGTCCGAGTCTAAGGGCGTTGGCAACGTCCAGCCGCGGAGGTTTCTGGAGGCACCTTTATCCTACATTCCTCTGATTTATTCGCCGGGACAACATAGGAACGTTTTTGAGAAACAGCTGCTGTAATCTATCCGTGCGAGGCTTGACTCTGATCTTTTTTCCCCGAGACTCCAACTTTCGGCAACAGTGCGGTCGATTTGCGCGCAGCAAAAACAACTTCAAAGCGGCCATTTTGTACCGTCATGCCGGTCACCGACCCATGGTTAAAAAAGGCTCAATACGTATAAGTTGAGGCTGCTTAAAAGGCATTTTTGTACCGTCCAAGTAT